TATAATATATTTCCTGGGGGAAACACTGGACTGAAATGTTTATGGATCTGTCACTTGCTGTCTTACAAAATGTTGTATAAGTGAGAAGCTGACCATTATAGACTTAAAGAACCAATGAAAATTCCACTGTAACATCACACGTTCCTTTATGCTCGTCAGTAACTCTCGGACATTTTCAGTATTCGTGCTGTAGTCGTCTCACCCAATGTGCCCCGACTGACTGCGATGCCTGAGGACATAAGTCAACTGCAAGCTGCCTTGACTTCAACATGGTACTGTCAGTGTTGGCTTTTCTTTTTGTTGTTTTTTTTTTATTCCGCCCCTTTACCAACCACTACTCTACTTTAATGTCTAAGCCTCCTCACCAATTTTGTAGACAAAACTTTACTTTCCTTTGTAAATATGTTTTCTTTTTCCTATTTGTTTCTCTCTCTCTCTCTCTCTCTCTCTCTCTAGCCTTGGTGCAATTTTTGTTGCAATAAAATACAAAGCAGTTGTGCTACTTGAAATACATCAATGACTCTAGTGCTTTTTTCAGTTTCTATAGAAGCAATAACAGATCAGAAACAGACACACAGCAACAGGTTATGTATAATTTATTTTTTCTGTCTAGAGTATTTTGTCATTAAAATCAAAATGTCAACATTTTAAAATCATATACACTCAAGAACGCATTTAAATGTTAGCACAGCTCCTTAAAAATTTATACATATGTACTTTTTTTTTGTACTTGTGGACAGACAAAAGCAGGAAGTGGTCACTCGGACTGCAAAGAGGTGGGACACAGGAAAAAGGAAGACCCAGCCCACCAACTTCCCACAATAACAAACCAATCCCCACTCCCCAAAAGTTAAGACAGCGATGCAGGCCCCTCCCATGTGGAGGAGCGATGATGGGGTGGGAAAAAAAAAAAAAAGACTATAAACATAAAAGTGCCCCATTCTCCACTCCATACAGAAATGAGAGGAATCAGAGTTTGCAGACATAAATACTAGTTTGCACATCATCTCAATCCACTTCCTCTCCCCTCAACCAATCGACAGGTACAGTAGTGTGCAGACGGGGTGGTTGGAGGGGGGATGTCTAGGTGTCTGTCCTTTACATACATTTATTAATAGAAACTATGTTACAGAATTTCCCAAGCATGAATTACAGGCAACCCACTAGCACATCAACTGTACAGATCTTGGCAGAGCCAGCAAATAAATTTCTAAATCCCAAGTAGCGAGGTCATCACCAATAGTTAAGAAGCAATATATACAGCTGTCCAATTAGGGAATCACTCTATGGTACAGAAAAATTGTACTTGGAAAAAAAAAAATAAAATAAAATTGGATTTCGACAATGTCACTGTGTTTCGGGGGGGGGGGGGGGCATGCTGCTTGGTGTTGTAATATACAAGGCAGAGGAACAACCGCCCAAATGAACAACAGATCAGCTCTTCAGTGCAGCACTTGAGATAAAGGAGTGTTGACAGTTTTAAGACCATGCTGCTGATAACTTTTGAGATATTTTGACCGTGTGAGCCACCGCTTGCATTTTTGACGTTATCCTCCAGTAAAATGCAATCGTTAATCTAAAAAGAGTAGGTTTATCGACTCGGGGTGAGTCCCGACAGCAGTGTGAAGAGCAAGTGCAGCGACACAATAAAGATTAAAGAGTAATAACATTAATTATAATAAGGCAACAAACAATGACAAAGAAACTGCTGGTAAAGACAGAATCTGTTGATATGACCGGGGGGGGGGGGGGGTTTGGGCCGGACGGGTGAGGAGAAGGAGAGCTGGTGCAAAGAAACCAATGTGAATGAATCTTTCCATCAAAAACAAAAAAGCCTTTTCTTTTTTTAAGTCGAATCAAACTTCCATCCAACTTCTTGACACACAGACACTCACAAACACACACACAGACGAGCTGGAAAACACCCAGTACTCCTTCCTGGGATATCTCAGAGGAGAGACCAAAGAATTGCGTACAAGGAAATTGTGGGTAATTCCGAGTTTTCTCGATTTTTTTCCCCTCTCTCCCCTGAGAACGTCAGGGTCGCCACATCTGGCAAAGGAACTTTCTTGGTGTCGAGCGGCAGAAGCAGAATCAAAAGCCACAAGCGGGTTTGAATCCTGCTCCACTTGGCTACACATTCTTTGACACACGTTTAAGGGCCTTTACCTGTGTGGCTGCATGATACTTCATTGCCTTCACTGTCTGATCCCCCCAGAATTAACGAGCGACATATCACACCCACATGTCTCAATAAAACGCTGAACTGGTAAACGATGCAGGAGAGACGTTGGGAATTTGAGGGTATAATTTAGACTGGATTCGTACAGAACTAATCAGTGGCGGGTGAAACTTAATGCAGTGTTTACATGTCATACATAGCTATAAAACCAAACATAAAAAACAGTCTCGGTTTATCATTATCGTATGAACGTTACATCTATCTAAAGTGTCAGTAACCCGTGTGATGCATGGTGGCGTCTACCATTCTATGACGGGGGGGGGGGGGGGGGGGGGGGGGGGGGGGGGGGGGGGGGGGGGGGGGGGGGGGGGGGGGGGGGGGGGGGAGGTAACTAGGCTGAATGGTGCAGGAGGAGCGGAGGGGAGCGAAAGAGGAGAGTTATGGGACAACAACACACTGACAGAGTTTAGAGAGGAGGAGTGAGACAGCAACAAAGGGAGACAGACAGGCAGAGAGGAGGAAGAAGAGGGGAGAGATGTAGTCCACACAGCCCAGCTCAGTCTGGCCCAAGTCGGTATCCATCCCCCGTTCCTTCCCTCCACACCCTGCTCTCATGCAGCTCCTGGTGCAGTGAGGGAAGAGGGTGGATGAACGTATGGAGGTGGAGGAATGGATGGAGGAGGGGGGATGGTTGAAGGAGGGTGGGCAGGACAGACGGAGAGAGAGAGAGACAGAGAGAGGGGAAGATAAGATGAAGGGGGTTTGCTTGGTCATTAGCATCCACAGCCTTCCCTCTGGGGCTGTGGTTCGCTGGTTAGCCGGCCGCCCTGAGGGGCCGAGGGCTTGTGCTGGACCCCCGACTCGGCGGCGTTCAGGTCCAGGCTGCCATCTTGGATGTTCTGGTAGATCTTCTTAGCAGCTTCCAGGAAGGCGTCCTCGACGTTTTCACCTCTGAACGCGGAGAATAAACACAAATGTGAGAAAGGAGGCAACTGGGAGTTTAAGAATGTAAGCAAAGGGATATTTCATGTTCCGCAGTCACTGAGACCACTGAAGCTGAGCAGACTTACGTTTTTGCACTGGCTTCCAGAAACAACAGACCTGTTAAACATAAAACAGATGCAGTGACAGAGTCAGTAAAACATTGTTACAAGCTCACATACCTCAAATACCAAGCTCTCATTCTCCCTCTCTTTTAATCAATATCTCTGCTTTCCTCAAGTCACCTTCTCCGTCTGTCTCAGCAGTATAAATACAGAGGGAGATTAATCTTCACTTTTGTCTCTTGAAATCAACCACGAGAACTTCTATTATAAACATGCTGAGAAGAACACAGAGGCTAAATCTCATTTTAATTCTAAATATTTGGACATTTTGTTGGCACTCCTTTGATTATCATTTTGTTGAAATTTGGGAACAGTCACAGTTTTGAAAGATGCTTTTGCAAAATGCGTTTGAGCTTTTGAGACCTTACAGCCCCTTTCCAGTGTATTTTGGCAGTTTTATGATATTTTAATAGTAATTTCCTTACAGTGTTGATGTGCCACACTGTTTGCCAAATTTTTTTTTTTTGACAAAGCACTTAACTCTGTGCTAAAACTTAAAAACACGTTGCTAAAACAGGAAGATGATGGATGACCGCACACACACCCCCATTCTCTGAGAAAGCTTAGATAAAAACCAGGACGTAACACTGGCTGTGGTGGTGTTTAAAAGGGTGAAAGAGAGACTAACAGCATGGTGAAATGTAGAGGGGAACCTATTTCCTCCACCTAAATCCTCCTTCCTGTCTTCCTAACGTGCTGTTCTGTATGTAGCTCACCATTCTCCTCAGCAAACTGCTTCGCTTCTTCATACGTCACGTCCCTCTGGGCCTCCAGGTCCGCTTTGTTTCCTATGAGAATGATCACCTAAGGGACAGAAGAGAGAAGTGTGAGACAGTATGACAAATTTGCTTTCCTCCAAGAGCTAAGAAAGCCGGGGGCAGTGTGGGAAGACTGTTCCTAAAGCAGTCGTTATGCTGCCGAGTTGTCTGTTAAGTGATCGATACAGAGATAAACTAAGGAACTGACACCCCCGCATCAGCACACTACAACACTACATGGTGCCCCTAGCAACTGTGATGTAATTAGACCTGTAATGTGCTGATGTAATGTAATGAGCAGGGACAGTCTCTCCCAAGACTCCTACTGTTGCATTTTGAGCATAAACCATTCATGTTTTCTTACAACTATTTCTTCTATTTTATTCCAGAATTTCTCACAGTAATCCTCACTGTGCTACTGCAGGTAATTTCACGAGAAGAGTGCTCCATTTCCACTGCGTTAAACAGAGTCACAGGCACAAACATAATCTAATCCAATTCTTACTTTTTGAGTTACTGGCTGTTTATTTGGAAAAGTGGGAGCTGATTTTTAAAAGCTCTCACCAAATTCCAAGAAGTCTTACACAATTCTTGTTTTCATTCAGATGACGATTACGGTGTCAGTCGAATGATCAGATAATGTCTTCATTATGTTTCCCCATCTCGCACAACAGCAGCCAAATAAACTTTCTTGAAGCAGAACACATGTTGTTGACACTTGCAGCAAGCCATGACTAGACTACAACACTGCCCCCGCGTGGCCAACACACGACACTTCAGGCTAAAACAGCTCAGGCTAAAAGGCTTCTGCTTTGTTATTGTTAAGAGGTGTAAGAAAGAACGCCACTAGAACTCATCATTAATTTAACATTCATAACAACTTTGTGGTCATAGTTATCCATAAAAATGAGCAAAAGAAAACATAGTTGAACAAGACACCCATAAATTTGTAGGAAAACAGCTTGATATAAATAAACCTATCTGCTGTTTAAACACCAGGGAAACATTTTTCAATTGATGTTTAAAAACTTGAAGTGGAAGAGGCATATTACAGAAACACACTTCTCTAAAAAGGAACACGGCTCAGTAAATAAGAGCCGTACGTCCGTTTTACAGCTAATCATATTTACCAAGAAATCCAATTTAAGAAATGGACAGAGGGCTCTGCGCCTTCAAACAGAGTCAGGGGAGAGGGAGAATGACACAGGGGAAACAAAGGAAATGAAGCAGTGGAAATGACAACACATGTGACAGATATGTATGAAACAGCAGGAAAAAAAACAACATAGTAAAAAAATATATAGAGACAAGGAAATCTGAAATGTGCACGGACATATAGCTATAGAGATGCAACAGACATACACAGAATAATTTGAGCACACACAATGAAAAGATGTTAATTTGTGTACTTACAGTATTGGGGTTGGTGAGGTTCCTGGCATCAGTCAGCCAACTGCTGAGGTGGTTGTACGTGCTTCTCCTGCATGACATCAACAAAGAGATAGGGGTTACTATGACGACAGGCAAGGACAGGATGTTGACATCTCGGAGGAGAGATCAGGAAAGAGTCTGCAGCTGCTACAACATCAGGATGGTGATGGTGTAACAATTAGAGCAGGCAGGGCGACTTTGTTACAGAGAGTGAGGAAAAGATAAATCTGATATTGCTATTTATTTCCCACAGGTGAAACATACAAACTCCTGTTCAGCCCAGCAGCTTTCTGTCTGTAACTGACAATACCGTAACTATCTCCAGCACCACTATGTTGAGTCATGTTCGACCAAACTCGCTCAAGCTGCTTTGAAGAATGGTCTTTTTTTTTCCAGCAGACACAAAAATATTTGGAGTTCATTGCACTGTACCCACTAAACTGGACTTGACCATATGCTACATTGCATTTAAACGGACATGAATACTGCGTTTATGATCAGGTTTTTGGAGTATCCCATTTATGTGTTAGCATGTAAACACCATATCCTGTTTTCAGAACCTGGCGAGACCTCATCCCATTTATGAGAAATCTGAATATGCTACCCGGAGTACTCTGAAAGAAACTGGGAAATCCCGGTTATTGGGCAACGCCAACTACCAGCACAGGCGTGGCTTCAGCCAAGTGAGTAAACATAAATACAAAAAATGGCAGCAGCAACAGTGTCTCACCTCCGGAGTGATAAAGAAACTGAGTTTGTTTTTAATATTTCCTGTCGCTCTCATCTCTAATGTTGGTTTGCTTTTGTAACGTCACAGCTCCAATGAGATCCAATCTCAAAGATTAGTATCGTGGTCAAACATGGCACTTTATCCTACATTTTGCTTTTTTGTCATCAGCTATATGGTGCATGCTTCACCACAGATGCTTAGGGCCACGCTGCAAGTTCAACTAAAAGCTCTGCGAGCAAACGGCCAATAGGAGCAATTTATTAATGTAATCTGCACATCCACTTAATGTACAGAAAATGAAAACAGACACTAAACAGCATACAGTTCATTCAGGTGACTTAGGCAAAAGGCTGCATCAAAGAATACTCTGTTACATTCTCAACCTACAATAGAAAATTGCCCATTATTAAATATACTTAGCAGCATGCTTTGAATTACATGTTTAGTCATCAAGGCTGAGAATGTGTTACTGATTTACCATACTTTTTCATACCATATTAAATGAATGCTTCAAGTTATTTATTTTAGTACTGCTTACTGAGATCTGCAGCTAAATTCAGCGTTATGTTTCCCTCAGTAGAACTCTTGTCTTAATAAATCAGCAGTTATAAAAATGTGTAAATTGCATCCTTATGGCACACAAGCAGAGCATTGGCTGGTAAACATCATGTTTATTCACTTTGGACCTAAGATTAATACAGAATTATGGTACTGGTTTGCTAAATATCTTAAGGCCTGTTAATATATATTTGTAAGAAATCCTTACCAATCTTCCAAAAGTAGTAGATGTTTAGCATAAGCTAGCTTTGGCTCTGTGAAATTTAACATGCTAAAGTAGCAAGGTGCGTTAGTTAAAAAGGAAAACAACCAATGTTTTGAGATGGCTGTCAGAGATGATAGATGTAAAATCGTGTTATCCAGTTTGAGGTGTAACAGGTGGTGTGTTTCACATGCTCTACCTCCCAATCGCTCTAGAAAAGAGGATTAGCATACTGTTAGGTATCATTATCATTGGAAAATGCTGGTTCTTGTTTGGCACTGGAAGTTATGCCTATAATTCACACAAGGTATCATGGGGACTAGGAATACGGTGGATCGCCTCCTTTATTATTTTGTTAAAAAAGAAAAAAAAAATTGAGCAGTCTGAATGAAGGATTTTTTTTCTTAATGTATTCCAGTGTTCATTATTTGTCGAGCATACCCACTGGACTGATTTTAATAACTTTAAAGTACTTGAAGTGCGCACTGTGCAGCTGTATTCTTCAGGAAAACAGAAGTATGGGATTGGGACTCAGTATTGACAGATACTTAATAACAAATGACTCGGATCAGGGACAGAAAAACTGATCCGAGTCAGTGCATCTCATGCAAATACAATAACCGCAATACTAGTATTTTCCATGTGTACGGGCAATATGGATAACCACACTTCTCTGTGCTCATGTAAACACCCTATCTTGTATGTGTTCATTACCCGGATGAGCCTCATAAACGGGTTATTCATGTCATGTTAATGCACTTATTTATGAAACTTGAAGTACAGGAAATGTTACAACCATAAAAACTGTTTTTTTAAGCCACACCCTTTAATTACAGGATCATGTGGATGAGGACTTATCAGCTGTGTGTTTACAGAAATGATGCTTGACACACTGAACACTCATCTTTGAAGCTGTAGGTGGCCACATTAACAGTGATTCATGTAAACAATTTATATTAGTTATTCCAGCTAAGTACTGTAACTGGGGCCCTAGGGACCCTTAGTGGAGTTGGGTGTGGTGCGGACAGACATTCCACATGATGAAGTGTGTTTATTTGTCACACAGCTGATACTATCTAACAGTTGGGCAAGAGGGTCGGACACAAGCAGTAGGATAAATTATCCATGTTTGTTTAAGAGGGCGTTTGTAGGGTTAAACTGTGCATTTATCAGTTGCTTTTGCTTCCATTAACCTTCCACTTAAACTCTGGTGTAAAGTTCAGACCACACTATATCTCCGACATACATTAACACATAACAGGCCCACTGTACCTGGTGATGTCGTAGACCATGAGTGCCCCTGCAGCCCCGCGGTAGTAGGAGCGGGTGACGGCCCTGAAGCGCTCTTGCCCCGCTGTGTCCCAAATCTGCAGCTTGATCTTCTGGCCGCTCACCTCAATTATCCTTGTACCAAACTCCACGCCAATCGTATGGGGGCAATCCGCCATGACTGGGGAGAGGAAGTGAGGTTACTATGAATTCAGTTTGATTCTTTGGGTCAGTTAGTTCATACCCTCAATGTTCAGGTATTTTTTTTCTTCCTTCATCAGGTTGATGACAGTTACAACTTAGCTTACAATGCTAATGTTGTAATATACATTTTGTGAACATGTGCAGCCCCTCACTCACACACAGACACACACCATTGTTAGGCGGCAGCAGCTGCAGGTGCATCAATAATTAATCATAGTCTATAGAGTCGTCATACTCATAGTTGTAAATTGAAAGTATCAACACCCAGAAAGCGACAAATTCCTTTTAACTGACACTGAAAACCTTTTCTGAATCCCCCCAGTGTGTGTGTGTTTGCAGGATGTGATGGTGGCGAGTGAATGAGGAACACAGCATCTGGCCCGTTAATAGTAGCACTAAACAAAACGGAGCTGAATGGTAATGGGAGTCTGCAGCTGACTCACACACAGAAGAAGAGTCTCTCACTGTTGAGCTCACACTTGACTTCTATGCCGCCGACTTCCGCTGGCGCATAAAGAAATCTAAAGCGATTTAGGCACTCCAGTTGAACCTGGCAACCTTACATACGCTGAGGCACAAGCACACACGAAAATAGGAGTCAAAATCAGGGCGCCACTTACATTTCTTTTCTGTGAACTGGTGAAGCAAACATGACTTCCCTACCCCCATGTCCCCTGTGGAGAGAGAGGCATAGACAGAAACTCAGGTCAACCAAGGAAATAACGGAAGAACAACAATTCTCTATTCATGCCTGCAGTGTCGCCGCCATGCATGTTGTAGCAGCCCCTCTGAGACAGTCAGCGATGATACTGAAAATTTCATGTGGAGCGTTAAGAGACAGAGAAAGACTTGACTATAATGTGTACTGTCCCACCAAATTTCACACTACATGTTGAGAACCATTTTGACATTAATGGTACATTTATTTTGTGACTCGTTTGTGTAACTGTGACTCGAGTCCTCTGTTTGCAGCTCAGTGAAATAAAAAGCAATGCTGCAAGCGAACAAAATCACAAAATCTGTGCGTTGGGGGTGAACAATATTGACAAAAACACTACTTTTGACTGAGTGCCTTCATATTCAAAGTGTGCCAATGTTTAGGGAATTATTATTGAGGCTTTTGGTGGATACTCTCACACAATAAATGCTTAAAAACCTTATGGATACAAACACCAAGGTGTTTGCTGTTTATTTTACTCTGCTAGAACACTTAAAGTAGATTAAAAAACTGTAGGCAACTGCAAAAAGCAGGATCACAAGACCTTAAAAACTTCCCTTTTCAAAACCAAACTGTGAAAGTTTCGTTCACTGTTCCAGTGAAGGGGAAAAAAAGTGTAAGCAAAAATTAGTAGCAAGCCACAGGCTGCTCTAGTAGACTCATTCACACAGCCCATTTAGATCAAATCTGATAACTGCTAGCTCTGAGGCAGAGCGTTTTAGGTTTCACAGAAGAGAGGGGTAAATAGCCCAGAGCTATGGGTGTGTTTGTTTATGCATATGTCTGTCTGTAAATGTATGTGCAAATAAGAGCAGCAATATGTTCTCTTACAGCCTCCACGCAAACAAACATGTCAGCAGAAGTGGAACATAACTCTAATAGAGGAAAGGTATTTAAAAATTCATCACACATTCGCAGTGTATGCTAAACTGATCATTAATAAGCAGGACAGAGAGGTGCATTAGGTATCAGTGATTCATTTTGAAATTAGGCAGCTAAAAGGATATAATAAGACATTATAAGCCATTGACTACAGAATATCTGAGTGGACTACTGCAATTGTCAATTTAACTGATACATCTGTCTGTTTGTCCAGTATTACTGTCTCTCAGTAGATGAATACAGGCATGCAGAAACATCCTCTAAAGCTGGTGCTTTATTAAAGATCAAATAAAAAAAATGGCAATAATAGATATACTGAGACATTCTGGATCCACTTGGAAAAGATCATCGTTCTTTGGTCCTTCTTTTAGAAATGGACAAGCTGATCAACATGGCTCCCTGTAGAGCACTGCTTACTTACCAATAATGATGTATTTGAAAATGTAGGAGTAGTTGTACGGTGCGGTGGCCATTGTGGCTCTGAAAGACAGAAAAGAAGGAGAAATTTGGCACATTAAATGTCAGCAAAGGCAACTTGCTCTTTTCCTACTCATAGATGGTCAGATAATGAAAGCAAGAGCAAATACCTTAATGTCAACTACAACTGTTTAAAAAAATTATCATACAAATAATGACTACAGTCCCTCGTGACACTAAAACTCAACACTGACTACATCCATTCTGGGGAGTTATTTTGGTTTAAGTAAGGGTCTCTCTCCACATAAATAAAATAAACATCTTATGAATAAGAAATAGAAGAATAAAAGACAATACACAGAGGTAATACGCAAATAAATACAAATTAAAACACAGGAAGTACTGTGCACATCTGAATTTAAATTGGTCGTGTAAGGGCCAGTGTTATTCAACAAGGCCATAATCCCACCAGAGCAACAGGACTGTAATAATGTGAGCCCGGCAAGGCCAGATGCTTCATTGACGCACACTGAAGCACAGCAATAAGAACAATATACTTCCATAAGAATGTGAATTAACACATTAAAACATATACATTGCAGTTACACCATTTTAGTAATTACCTTATTATATTATGCAATTTTAAATTACCCAATTATACATACGGTGCTTATCAAAATCAGCAAGTATAAACTAGATGAAAACCAGAAATAACGTATCTGATCATGAGCTAATCTGCTTCCTTTTAGATTGCTATGACGCAACAGCTGAGACTGTAGGGGTAAGCAAAAATGAAACTGAACACTAACACTTTTTCATTTAGTTCGTTAACTAGGAGATGCTATGACTGCACATCCCACACACTTCATATTTCTGCTTACATAAATAAGTGCAAGGGGAAAAAACAACCACAGCCATGTACTTTTAACAGCTTGCTGACCTTGAGTCCTTTTTTTACCCATACCACAAAATTAACAAAACTCCTGTCTTTGTGGAGTCAAAATCTATATCGAGACTTCAATTTTAACTTCAACCTTAGGAATGGGCAATATGGAGAAAATCAAATATCACAATCGACTACTGGTGCTTTCACAAAATACTACAAAATGGGATTTTTGATCAGTAATGTGGATATAATGATTAACTGGGTAAAAACAAATAATAGAACAGCTAAAACAGTATGGCAAGTTCAGAAAGTCACATATTTTTATAGTGATGCAGCCTTTAAAACAAGGAAAAAACAAGACTTGTGGTATTATGATATTAAAAATCTAAGAAGATACCTAATCTCAAGTCACAATATCAATATACTGCCTAGCCCTTTACCACCTGTTAGCCAACTGATGTACAGTTTTAATAAAGTTTAGTATTTGCCAAACAATACTCCTCCTCTTCAATTAGTTCGAGCCGATTCTGGTGATTCAGTGTCACATTGTTTGGGCTATCGCTGAAGCTGAACTTAGCATGCTCAAAGCTCAGACAACCTTTCACGTGCCGCACCAACATTCACTTGGCCTGAAAGAAAATTAAATCAGGTAGGTGGCCTGGAGTGGATAGTTCATGGGGCATAGGTGATTAGAGTATTCCCAACAAAAATGGAGCTCTCTGCCTGATTACAAAGGTTGAAATCTCAGCAGCCACTAAGAAGAGTGACCGGCATTGAACGGCAATAACTGAGATATAATTATACAGCCCGTAATGTCTATCTTACTACACGGCAGTAAAAATAACTTGCAAACCAAAACATTTTCGGTCTACAAACAAAACTCCAGTCACAACTCCATTTATTAAATATAGGAGTCTTAAAAAGAACCACTAGCAGTATTCATACTTACAACAGCCTAAGGTAGGCAGGTAGACAATGGAGGTGATCGATCAGTTTTAACACACAGGGGTAAAGAAAGCTCAAGGAGAAGGCGAGTAAAGACCACCAGTAATCCACATCCCTACAGCACGCACTGTCTCTTCTCATAATGACAGAGCTGCACAATGACACTGGCTTATTTTGATGGCACCGCACACAGTCTGTCTACAAGTAAACAGTGTAACACTTACATATAAGAACACCTCCAGCATCATATGCTCAGAGCTAGGCTAAAAATAGCCCTGACACCTATCTGATACCCACTGATGCTTCATTGTTCACGTTCCATTCACAGCACACAGACGAAGCATGCAGGGAAAAGCCTTCAGATTTAACACACTATCAAGAAAAGCATTCAGACAAATACAGCTGCTGAACAGCCATGGGGAGACGCTCTTTTGGAATATGCACAGATTTGTTCATAAATAAATGATCGGGACGGGTCATGTGCGACATCAATGAAGCTGCTTTAGAAAGCAGGCGGTTTCTCTCATGAACAATTTCAACCATAACATTCACTTTGCAATGCCATCTCCTGACATCAAGGCCATGTTGTATTTGCGCTGAATAGAGGCTGCTTTGTAATTCTGTATCAAGGTGCTGCCGTACAGTGTAACTGCTGTAGAGGGGTAAATAATTCAGGCTTAACAATCAGGAGCATAATCATTCAGCCGCCTGATGGTTTCCGTGTCCCTGGCGAAGATGGTCTCCTTTAAACCAGTGCTTTTCTCTGATCTGCAGCTCAGTGAAAACTGTGCTGCAGATAGAGCAGTTCCTGGAAACTGACATCACTGTGCCACATCAGAGCCGGCGCTGGCGTTATGCTCATACTTTTGCATCTGCAGTTCAGTGACCATGTCTGACTGGCCAGATTAATGCTGACACAGCCAAAAGAAATGTGGATGGGTGTGATATGAGAGTCTAGGAGAGAAGCAATGAAAAAATGAGCAAGTGAATAAAAAGAAAAGGACTTCAGAAACAGGGATGAAAAATTGACAGATGGGAGGTGTAGGCTTTCAGTAGCATGAGAAAATGGGTGAAATATAGAGGATCAGAGACATTAATTTGTTGGGCAGGAACTGAGGAGGGCCTGCAGGGCAACTTCGCTGAGGTTAATTCAGGTCGAGATGTCACCTAAATCTTTGCTTTAATAAAAATGGTGTTGGGTTAGGTACCCTCATGGCGGTGCATACTGACACTCATACTGACTCCAGGTAAAATGCTTTGAGGGAATAATATGAAAACATCAATACTCTCTTATGTACAGAGATAAATCAAATGAAAATAAATTAACTAAGACAACTCAAAGTATGTTTCAGTATTGCTAATTTCCTGAAGAATAACGTGACTTCCTAATAACAGCATAACCTGCTAAATGTTATCATTTCAAACTATGTAAACAACTTGTAGGCATCATATCAGAGCAGGCTGTGACTGCATTTTTGTTGGTGCCCCCAGAAAAGACTTGGCTCACACTCACAGTCCTCCACAAACTCTGCAACTTGACCTGACATTTGGTAATTACCCCCGCTAACACCAACTTCCTCAGTGAAGCAAAAAGCAGCCTGTGCGAGGTCTACGTGGACGCCTTACACTATCTGGGTATCTGCCCTTGTACTACTCTGTTAAGAGCATGGCTTTGATACCACATTAATGACCACAGTACACTTGCTAGCACAAGCTTCTTTAAACTACAAAGCTGTGTCTGCTGATTTCAATGATGACACTAGTATATATTTTTTTCCTATCACTCAATGAATTCATTTGAAATCAACTGATGTGTGAATGATGTACTAAGCGGGTTTCAAAGTGAAACAGAGACCATGAACATACAATTACACTACTGCTATGCCTTAAAATCCTGGAGTAATATTCAGGGACTTTTTCAGGCTGCCACATGAGGGTCATGTGACAGGTCACATGACCCTCATGTGGCATCTCTGTACTGTGATGATATTCAGTGCTCTGTTAGGTAAGCTATCAGAGAGGGTATCCCCAAAAAGAGTAAAAACATAATGTGATTCAGCTGCGATACCCAGCCTCCTTTTTCCAGTGCTAATTTCCTCGAAATAAACCCCACAAATGTCCGTCAAGGAGAAGGCAAGTCAAAACCATGTGACCAGACTGCAGCCTCAGCACTTCAGCATTATTCCCCAACACAGTGAATCTTTCTCCAGAGAAAACACTATCACTGCTCTTCCTCCTCTCAGCCACTTCCCATAGAGGAGAGGATGCACGACTCAAATCTGGGCTATCAGGAAATCATGACACATATATAGTCACAGTGCCTCCATGATGCTCGGGCCCACTATTCAAATCATGTGACTCCTTTCAAGCCTTAAAAACAACATAATGAGATCATTACTCTCGTATACAGGCCAGACAGAGCTCAATTTCACCATGTATACAAACAGATTTTAAGATCTTTCACATTTTATTTATATGTGATTTTAAAAATCCATATAAAATAACATAAATATTTAAGTATCACATCAAGCCTGCAAATACACAAAATGCACTGGCACAAGAAACAGAAATGATGCAGCATTTTATGTTAGATAAATGCAGATCTATCCCAATTTGCAATAGTTCAGGACATACAGGATCGACTTCGTCGCCGACTTGCGATTTAAATCTACACACCTCTGTTGTTTGGAAAAGTAAAGCTAAAGGGGAGGCTAAGGCACTGTTAGCTGAGGAAATATGGGACCTTATGTGTAACCCTGTACAACAGATGAACACTTCTATGCAAGAAACAGAATAAAAAGGGACAGGCTACATTCAAAAATCTGACTTGAGTGTCCAATGTTAACCCTTTTATATGTTACTGTAATGACATGCCTGCTTCCAGACGGCGATGGTTAGCTTAGCTTACCAACCGGCAAAGTGACAGCATCGCTTTGGTTAACTCTCTGCTGTTAGTTAGCACACAAAGGCTAGCAATGTTACTAAGGGAAAGAGGAAACAAACACCTGGTATTTGCTTGGTTAGTAACCAACTACACGATCGTGTCTGATAACAATCACGGCCCTAATTCAGCTGTTTTGACAGCTAAGTTTGGGTTAGCTAGCTAACGTTAGTTACCTGCTTGCTGACATCAATGGATATATCTTGATAACGAATAGCATAAATCACAATATGTACATCGGTTGCCTTTGCTAGCACACAGATAATCGAGTCAAGATCGTCTAATATGAGTTGCTATGTTAGAAAATTCACCTGGCTTCTGCATAATTTCACAAAAGCCACCATACACCAAACTACCGACAGCTAGCTATAGCTTTAGCATGCTAGTTTGCCAGTTAGCTGCGAGGGTTGGATTATGGTAAATACGTTGATTAGTTAGCTTGTCAACCCATATTTACTCACCGCCGAGCAAGTAATTGTTCGCCTACAATAGTATTCTCTAATAGTGCAATGTGTTATAGATCCCAATCTTGGAAGCCGACGATAAAAACAACCTACTATTAGCCATCTGTTAGCTAGCATCGTTAGCTTGCCAATTAGCTGACTCCTGGCAAAACAGGCTAGCTAAACTGCTCCAGCCGTTTTATAAATTTAAATACCGACGTCTCTGCGTTTATCAGACGTTGTATTCTTATGTACGAGTGTGCTCACGTGTTTCCTCTTCTCTGTTCTTACCAGATATTAAGTCTTTTGAGCTTTGTGATCTTGAGCTGTTCAGATGAGGAATGCAGGTTATCCTGGCTCAAGTGATCTGTCTATCCAAGCAAGATGGCTGCTCACGGCACAGGGTTTCCTCCGCTGTATACAATGGGCTTCTGGGACAAAGAGCATCATATGCGGCGATTTGTGGTGTGTGCACCAATAGTGTGCACGGTTTAATGGAAAGCAGTCTCACCTGCACAGGTGCACTCATGCATACTGTACTGCTACACCACTTGATACTGATTAAGTGGAGTATCAGATTATGAATTCATCACATAGGTGAAATCATGTAATAGTAGACTGAGTGTTCAGGGATTTGATTACACCTGAGTGACCTGGGTTCAGATGCTGTTCAGGTGGGCTGCTGACCTAAAATCTTCATGTATAGAGCATTTCAATCTCACCAAAAGATGCAAGGTTTAGCCTAATAGATGTTGTATGCCTAAAAATCAATTCATTGTTTATCCACACTAGATTGGATCCACACTAGTTGCTTCATTCAGCAGCAGCTACTCTTCCTGAGATCCATAATAGAAAATACATAAAATTAGCAAATGTTACATTTACACTACATTCAATAAATGGTATAGTTATAAAATAACCAGTCCTCCCAACTTAAAAGAATGCATATATANNNNATATTAAAAATTAGTAAAAATAAGTAAATTGGCAAACTATTCCAGTGAGACATGGCTCAATATATTGCTGTTTTTTCCATTGCATTGCTTTGGCTGATTTCTTTCTCGTATATTTCATATATTTATTTACACATTTGTCACATGCAAATAACCAGCATAATGTAAGTGGACTGTGCTGTGTATTAAAAATGTAAAGCTGTGCAGTACCAAATGTACTAATAGTGTCCTTGTGTAAGACTCGTGTGAGATTCTGCTCTGGCAATGATGCTGCTTTTATTTAGATTTTATGGGCTTGTAGAGGCTAATATGCAGTATGTTTTATTTATGACAGGTTAGTGATACACAAAACATAAAGTGTAAGTACATGATAAACTAGCAAAAACCTTCTATGAAATGCTTGTATGAAAATAATGTTATTGTGTAAATGTTCACTGGTGTATTTTAGTGAATATATGACCATTTGATAGCAGTCCATTATTGTTGTTCTGTCTCTGTTTTATTCTAATTAGTGTAAAAAAAGTTTTATTTTTATTTATTTCATGTCAGCTTTACACATTTTCATACACACATGAAAACACTTCATATCATGTGGCCTACTGTTTAACAGGTTAATTTATTCTCTTGAAATCATGTAAACCCTGTTCAGTTTGCTATGATTATGTGTATAGCATGTGACATTCATGGTATGTCTCAGTATAATAAAAATGCAGAGTTCTGAGCAGTTTCTTTTGAAAAATATGAAACATTTTAATACAATAATTCACAACATTACATGCTTTCACTGTACAATATTTCTTACACTCCTACACAGAACTGCATGCAGTGTGCTTTCCCAAGCTTAGCATTGAGAACTGGACAGCAAACTAAAAAAAGTAACTTTAACTTTGCAAAATAAATAGCCTGTGACTTTAAAAGAACACACTGCACACAAGGATTTGATCTTGATAAAGATAATGAACTGCTGAAGAGAGAAAACTGATTCATGTCATACAGTAGTAGTGGATGTAAGTCTTTATTAACCTGAAGTCAGTGTGTAGACTAACTGCATTGCTGATGCAAGGTGTCTTGGCTGAAAGCTTTTTATGAACTGACATTATGACTCTGACAAAGATCTTTCTTCCATGGCAACAGATGTCCCATAATATCCCATACTTCAAGTTAAATTTGAGTGAGTGGATGTGCACAATAAATTCACTGATGACTGCAAGCTGCTTCATCATTACTTTGATTATTCACAGGGTTATTTTGCCTTTGCTCTGACTGTATGTCTGAGCTAACAGTGTGACAAAAGCTAAGGTGCTCACCAGTAACACCACACTGAGTAAAACTCTCATTCAGTCCTAAACATGTGCAGCTAAGACATAAGAGTTGTTGTGTCTCCCATAGTCCACAGATGTGATGCTCCTCTCCAGGCTGACTCCATATCACAACCACATCCTCAGCAGCAAGAGGCTGAACAGTACACAGATGTAGTGGAGCGTGCACGGATGCCAGGAGGGGGCGCTGTTACATAGATCTGAGTCACAGCAGTGGATGCGCACCCCTGGCAACTCGTGCTGCTGGCAGTGTCTGGATGTGGCACAACCGCTGGTCAGGACGATACCCAGGGCCGCTGGAGGGACAGGAGGGGAGACAGCCAGTCAGTGAAGAGTGACGAGCTGGTGTTTGGCTCAGCAAGAAAAATAAATGCATATGTAAGCACCAAACACTGCAAGTGTGTAATGAGGAAGACATTTAGAGAGCTTAAAGGCACACTCCACACGTATGTCTTCACAGCTGAGAAACCAAGCCTCTGGCAAACGGGACATTGTGTCCTTTCCAGTGCACTTCCATGAAATTCAGACTATATGTAAGTATGTATTTAAAATCAGTACCATCTTTATTTTTTTTAAAAAAAGAACACCCTATATCTAAATCCAGAGAGCTGCAAATGATCTGGACATTCTCTTCCAACACTGTAATACACTCTGTGAGATATATAGATTGTTCTGAGTCCTTACAGCTTAAAACCAGTGAAACTAAAATGCATAAATTTGGGTCTGAGAGCAGTGTAATCGGCAAGAGCGAAATCTAAACAAATAGGAGTTCTATACCTGAGTCAGCATCTCCACTATTTTTCAACTCAAGGTCTAGTGTAGGACACAGTAGCATCTAGCAGTGAGGATGCAGACCTGAAACTTCTCCAAGTGTGTAGAACTACGGTGGCTGACGCAAAAATGTGAATGTGTTTGATTTGTCAGTTCTGGGCTACTGTAGAAACAACATGGCAGATTCTGTGGAAGAGGACCCACTCTGTATGTAGATATGGCTATAACGGTTCGTTTGACGGTATTTACAGGTGATTATACACTAATAAATAAAAAAGTAATGAATATTATATAGCCTACTATTTCTGCCAATAAATGCCCTTAAATCCTACACACTGGACCTTTAAGGTAGTTTCTGTGATGAGATTTGACTGGCACAATATCTCTGTCATTTATAATCCCCCAAAGCTGAAAACAAAGAGCGATCAGGTCAAGAGAGCAGCAAGGTCAACATGAAACGATCAACCTGTCTTCTTCAATTAAATTATAACGATCATTCGTGATGGTAAATTTGGTATTTTCCACCCTGGAACTCATATTCCCATGTTTTTGAGTCTAAATGTCTACTTGGAACAACAATTTTTGAAACTGGTACAATATTTGTGCTGCAGCCGGCATGTTGCCATGGGTGGTTACATTGCAGCCTGTTTCGCCACTCCCTGCTGCAGCGCTCTCACTCAGTGCTGGACCAGTTTCAAAAATCATTTTTCCCATTAATCATTTAGCCACATGAACTAAAGATATTGAACTTACCTTTTTGTCTTGCCTATCTAGACATTTTTGCCAGTCAAAAACTTTGCACTTCTGTTATATGTTGGAAGCAGCTGAAAAGTGAGAGGACGTTGCCCAGGAGAGAAGGACACTGGACTGGTTATGGATTAAGGACAGATGTCATGTTTTTGAGGACAAAGGGTAGAACTCTAAGACTCTTATGGAACTTTACCAGCATCTGTTAGATTTGGGTTTGGCGGGGTCACATGAAGATTAACAGGCTGACTGGCCACAGATTACCGCCAAGACACTGTTTTGAGATTTTGACCCACAAGTGCTTGTCATTGTGTTTCCGACGGGCCGTCGTCAGTCCTTTTCTGAGCTTGCTGTTTCTCCGAGCGCACGGAAAAGGTGCCTCATCAGCCCTTTCAACATGAGTGGCTCCTTTAGACATCAAGCAAAGGAACAGCTGGATTGTCCACGCTTCCATGGATATCAGCAGAACTACTCATCTGACCATCACTCTCCTGTCATGGGTGTCCCCATCCTCCATTTGACTTAACATCAAACAAGGAGTGACTTATAATTTACTCATCAAAGCACACCAAAGTGGGGTTATGTAACTATCCTCAGTGGAAGGAGCAATGGAATATTCACATCAGCGGACAAAGAACATTAACATGAAAGTATGATTAAAAGTGATTATGCCAATGTCCAGTGGCATGCCAGAGTGAATTCATCATGATTTTATAATCCCCCCCCCCCATAAATATTCTACAAATAAGTATCACACAGAGATGCATTAGCTCACTGGGTTAGAGGATAAAGAGGAGAGAAAACTGTGATTTCAGTTGATTAGTCATTAAATATTGGTCACGGAGGTTTACTCACTGCTCTCTGTCTTGATGCAGAAACGGTGTTTGAAGCCTTTGTGCGAGTGGGTGCAGGTGATGACCTCTGGGTTGGAGCAACCCACATCCACATACCTCTGGCCCTGGATGATGTTGCAGCCATAGCACTGCAGACCCTGGACTGCAGGGGACACACAGAACAGCCCATGACAACTTGTTAGGGTGCAATTTAAGATGATGTGGCAGCTTGTTTGTGGAGAGCCACTGGGATGCATAAGCAATGGCGCCTTTGCTGCTATTTGGGGGTTATGGAGGAAATAGCATACAGTGTACACAGATACTGTCCAGGCAGGAGACCCACACAGGACCTATAGCAGGGGTGTCCAAACTTTGTGAATGGGGGTCAGATTAAATAATGTGAAAGTACCTGGGAGCCAGCTGCTTCTTACACCATATGGACTATTAACAAAAAAATACAAATGCAAACATACAAATGAGCCAAATGCAACAGTTTCATATAACTTTTCACCACTCCTGAAAGTGGCGGCCCTTGCTGACAACTTTACACTTTTTTGCTGTTGCTATATTTGCTACGTAGCAGGAAATGTCTGTTGCTAAAGGTAACCATTAATTTGGTTGTTTACTGTCTGTTTATGAAAACACATTAGTTCCACCTGCATAGTTCCTACATGGTGCATGTCTTCAAACTGTATCATGGTCCTGCCATTGTGAGGTGAATGGAAAAAATTGGTCTGTGGGCCGGTCTTTGGACATGCCTGACTGATGGTGACCCTAGGCGTTGCTCACACCACCATTGTAATTATCAATATAAAGATTTAAAGATTTAAATTTCAAATAAAAGGAAGAAAGATTTGGAAAATGAAGACATTAGCCTGTGTCTTGTCTGGCACAGATTTATTCTATATCCAAAAACCCTTCATTGGTTGGCAGGACACTTGGAAATACAGAGATTAAGTAGTATAGATAAAACAACATAAAGACTACAAAATGGAACCCAAAGGTGGTCCAGTGAACAGGCCCTCCCAAAATTTGGTGTACTCCATAGGTTTACTCATATCAATGCATACATGTAGATTAGGAGAGACTTTCTCAGTGGTGGGGGCTACACAGGCACTATCATCTATATTATTATTTTAACAGGTGATGGTCGGCCTGGCTCCTTCACTGATGCTAGCTACCTCTTGGCTAAGAGGAATGTTAGCTGTAACATTAGCCTCCTGGCTATCATTTGCCTCTTTAGCCTGGCTTGGAACAGCTTTCTGAGCTGACTGAAAAATGTTGGTCATTTCATCATTATTTGGGTTTAAATCCCTTTTCAGCTCCTTCATCTTCTTCTCCTTTCTATACTGGCATCAAAATGTATGTGCGGGTTGTGGCATAGCAAGGAAATTCACTCACTATTCATTATCTAGGCCTAAATGTTGTTTTAGAATTAGATGTTTTTTTCCCAGTTGCATACAAAAAAATGACCCAAACTATTTTCATGAGGGTGGGGTTTCATTATTAAACAGGGTACATTTTACTAAAGCAATAATGAATATTGTACAACGTAAATTTGTTGTTTAAATGAGCAATGGCAAATATTTTATTTCAAAATAAAATTTGATTATCATTATAGCATACATAGCTTATAGCCCTCCTAGCGGCTCAGCCTCAGAAAGCTTGCCCTTAGTGGCCCTGAATGTGTGTCACATTGGGTTGCGCAAGCATACCTTTGCCATACGTCCATCAGCTTGTCTGTGTCTAGAACTTAAATGAATTTAACTAAAGTTTCAAGACTGTAACTTCTTAATTTGTTGCTGATGACACATTTAATTTTACTTTTTTTTGGCTAGTGCTTTGACACATTTGGCATCACATTAAATAAAACTGACTATTGCTGCTGGATTACATCCAACCTAATCAGATCCACCTATGTTGGTAATGCTGGGATATTGCTGCTTTAGAGCTTAACTTTTCCAAGTTGCACCCAAACAACCACTTGACTCCAAGTCTCTGTCAGAAGCATCTACATTGACTGTGATTCAATTATAAATGATCTTTATAACAACCAGATGTAGACTTAAATTGCAGTATCACAGCCCTTCTCCCTGAAGCTATGCAGCACATAAACAGTGCAAATGAGCTAATTTTAAAGTGATGCTTCAGTTCAACTGTAACAGCATCTTGCATGGTATTTTGAAAGAAGTACATCTCAAAGGCATCAAGATTCCTTCTAAACAATTCACAGTTCAAACAAGGACCATTGCTTTGGAGTTTGATATTTGTTCTCATCTTGACGGTACTCAACTGCTCCTCTCCTCTCCTCTCCTCTCCTCTCCTCTCCTCTCCTCTCCTCTCCTCTCCTCCAGCGTGTGCTTAAGGGTGACTCACCCTCAGTAGTACACCCCATCCCAAGCTGTCTGCCTGCCAGCTCCAGCTTGTGATCTCAAAACCATGTCTCCACCACTCAGCACCCTATAAGTGGTGGAAGCTACAGTACAGAGAGAGGGACTCGAGAGAGACTAAATCAACATGCAGCTTAATTATGCTGTTTACACTTCCTTCTCAACTGGTGCCTAAAAATCATCAGTTAACATAATCATTTGCCAGAATAGGTTTGGTCCCTGTGCTGCTAAAAGAGGAGCTAGCACACATTAGATCATCATACAATTGGGGATTTTTAAAGCACATCTTTTCTGAAACAAAATTTTCCAAAGACCTCTTTCATCTTTGGTTCCATTTTCTCCCGTGCCACTGTCTCAATGCCTATCTCTCTCAAGAAAGTAAGGCTAAGCCTAAACAGAACAAATCCACCAGAGCTTAAAGGGATTGTCCGCAGATTCAGACCCCTCACACACCTGTGCCTGACCTCCAAAATCCCACACACAAGATGGAAGATCAGCTTTGGCTGAAACCAATCCTCCCTCTTTATCTGTGCAGCCCTGTGGACTCAGTGCGAGGGCAGAGAGCGGACGCGAGCCTCTTGCCGCCTCTGCTCTGTTAAATAGCCCACCAAAAGCTCTGATGGAGCTTTCAGGAGCAAACTAATCCCAGGCAAATGCTCTTACAAAAATCACTTTAGAAATCTGCTGGAATCAATGTAAAGCCTCACAGGGACAGAAAGCACATGCCAGCCTTTAGGGGATGTGTCATACTCCCCTGCTGGTGATACACCATGCAGTCAAAGCTCTTATAAATATTGGAGTATGTCATTAGAGCTGGGTAATGGTTGTGGAAATACAACACAGCGGAATGATTATTTACATCTGGCAAACAACCTGATCAATCAATTTACTGTGATGTTATGTTGTTGCACACCACACTCGTGAAACACTGAAAAGCTGCCCGATGTGAGCATTTGCCAACATAATGAGGACATATTGGAAAGACTTCCAGCTTTCATGGCACAAATGCAATTTATCATAACCAGAGCCCGTGCCAGTATGCATTGCAAATGTTGATTAACTCTGTATATATCAAAATCTATCATGACTGACATGACATTTAATCTTATCCATTATTGGTATTGAGTACATTTAACATGCAAATTTGCTGGTGAAGCTCATCTGCATCGCAATACTGAGCCAATTACATTCATTACAATATTATATGTATTTTTTCTGGGAAACATTTCAAGAAGAAGGCACCTTGAAAGAAAAAGTAAGCAGCATACAGAGGACAAACAAAACATGATTTTAAGAATTATCATAAGAACATTTGGATTTAATTCAGAAAAGGTCACCACTGCTCGCCTGTCTCATTATATATTATGTTTTGCTTTTTCAGTGGGGCTTAAAATGAAGTTATGCTCAAAATGAGCTTTTAGGGCACCATAAACATATTATACTAATTATGAATTCAAGATGATTACTGTAATCATGCATTATGTAACACATAATAGGTATTAAATTGTGTGCTATTATGGTATTAAGCTCACTGTCCTCTGGCGTTGTTGTTCGATGGTTATGGTTCAGTGCACCCCCTTAATACTAACACCTTTTTTGACTTTCTGTGTAGCTTTGAACAGAAATAACATTCATTTGAAAATTAGAGACATTAGTCTATAATACACTGCAGTTACAGCTATGCCAGCTATTTGTTGCCTCATAGATTTTCCCCTATTGATCATCATTAGTCTGGCCAGGAGCTCTCTTCGCCCTCTGGTCTGGAGTTGGGATCAGAGGTGATCTGACTCAGACCGAATACTGAGATATAAATCAAGCAAAGCAGGATCTCCGCACACAACATCACCCCAATTTCTTCTTGTTTTGCCCCCAGTGAAACAAAGGTTGCAGCCAAGCCGAATCAGGTCAATCTTTATTGCTCTGTAGGGAAATTTAGTTTGCCACCTATGGCTATCACCTATTGTTGGGAGACATAGATTTGAACTCCCAGGTCAATTAAATGCAGAACAAGGGCATATTTATTGGAGTCACCTTTCAACAGGGTTGTTCATTATATTAATGTGATCCATACAGTTGGTTTTGATCTGGAGCATTTGCCAGCCCATTTCTTATCATTCTACTGCTGCGTTGTTTTAATATTTTGCAAATGTTGTAAGTTGATTTTTTATAGTACTTTACTGTATTTATGACACATTTGTATACAGCGCATTGTCTGTATGGCTGTACATTAATGTTATTGATTGCTTTGCCTGTAAAAGGCTTGTGTAGGTGAGGATTACACACACACACACACACACACACACACACGTACTACATATTTCTCCATACATTTCAACACCAAAAATATCATCCTACTCACCCTGTTTCAAGCAGAGTGTCCAAACCAAGATAATTCCAAGCCCATACACCAGCCAGGTGTGTAAAGTCATGGATGCAGCACAGTAGTGATGGTCAGTGGTCAGTGCTGGAGCAGAGAGAGCCTGAGATTTCCTCTGCTCTCATCTAACAGTCCACCAAAACAGACAGAGAGAGAAGCCTAACAGAGGTCCCACTTTCCAAAGCCCGAGCAGCCCGAGTGTCTCTCTCCACCCCAGCCTCAGCGAAGCTCACGCAGTGCGTGAGTTAACTGCCAGTGAGTGTCCAGTGAGAGGGGGAGCCAACCATCCAGGCAGTCAGTCAGCTCAGCAGCCAGTCAGGCAAAGAGACGAGGGGGAGGAAGATAAATGAGTGAGGGAACTAAATAAATGAATGTCTTCCTCAGCGGTCTCCTCACGTCCTGAGGAGAAGCTGGGGAAAGAAGTGGTTTGATCATGAGAAGGAAAAAAAATCTCTTCTCTCATGTCATCCCATGGAGAAAAAAAATGAAAGCACCACTTTCTCTCATCAGGGAGATAAAAACAAACAGTGTAGCAAGTGGTCCTTTTCCAGTTGGGTGAAAACACATCAATCAGGATTAATTCCTGATTGATAATACATCGCTTCTAATAATAGCCCTATCACAATGTGTTAAAAGCCCAGGCTCTAAATGGGATGGCACACCAGGGGGGCCAGGTTAGCGTGTACATGAGCAAGTGCATGTGTGTGTTTCTCAGCGAGGGAGCGTTGCCAAAGGACACACACACACACACTTTCCCAATAGGGCAGGTTATCTCTGCTCTGTGTATCACTGAGCTTGCACACTGGGGAGAAAATTCTATCTAATCAAGAATTAAAGAGTAAATCCTTTCTTAGAGACTGTAATGCCGGAGGATAAGGCAGGCTTTGCAGTAAGCCCTCGTTCCCTCCCCACCCAAAGCAACATATGGTCCAGCCTGATAGATGGCTGCCAATGATCGCTGTCATTCATATTAAGACATATTTAGAGTGACAAGTGCAGATTTCTCCACATAAGTTTTGATTACAGTGGATTGCAGACAAGCTATTTTTTTCATCAGCGCTAATTTACAGAGCAAACAATGCCCAATCATGTCCTGCAGTTCATCTTTTTGTTTTGTCCCTGCACACACACACACACACACACACACACACACACACACACACACACATATGTGCCTCTTTTCATTTGTAAGTGTGTGCAGCTGTGTGTGAGTTGTGTCTCCGCGCTGTGCTTTTATTCATGAGTCATTTTGTTTGTGTGTGAGTGTGTGTGAAAGAAAAACAGGGCGAGGGAAGAGAAATGTCAGCAGTGTGTACTATCTGTGTGAAGCATATGGTAGGTAGGGAGGGTCATGTGGACAGTTGTGTGTGTGTGTGTGCAGGAGGAGGTGAGGAGGAAAAGATGCTGTTTTAAGCTTAGTTTTAATCGATATTCCTGTGTGTGTGTGTGTGTGTGTGTGTGTGTGTGTGTGCGTGCGTGCGTGCGCGTGCACAATGCAAATGCAAACCTTAAAGGAATAGGAGTTTGACATTTTGGAAAAATAGCCTACACTTATTTGCTTTCTTGCTGGGAGTTAAATGGGGAGACTGATACCACTCATGAAGTGTAGCTTAACATAAGGACTGACACTGTCTGTCTTCTAGCACTTCTAAAGCTCACTGATGCACTTGTGTCTTTCTTTGTTTTTTGCACAGATTTAACAAATGAATGATAACTTATGCATTTTTACATCCTGAACTCCCTTTCCCATGTTCACCACTGGTGAAACAGATTACAATGCAACCACTCAGGGAATTTGGCGCCATCAATATATGTCCACATTACGATGTTTTTGCCACTGACAGGCTCAGATTATAATTCAAAGTGTCTGATTACATTGTGGAAGGACTCTACAGAGAAAGAGCTTTTTATTAAAGAGTAAGACCATTTTTTTTTACCAGAAACAGCCCCAAAAATGCTATCACTAAACCCACCAGACTCCATTGAAATAAACAGTAATTGTGTAGTAACAGTATTGTTGGAACTGTGAAAAGATGAACCAATACAGTTTTTGTGTGTTTAATTTTGTTTTTATTGATTGTGAATGAAGTGTGTTTTAAAATGATAAAATTATCATTCACTAAATGGAGTTTAGTGGGTTTGGTGAAAGTGATTTTGGGTCTGTCTCTGCACCACATTCTCACTCAGACCTCGTCACATATCAATGTCTCTTTCAAAATAAACACACTATGTTGGTATAACACAACACAAATTGACATTTCTTTCCTTCAGCAACCAACCCATGTGGTTGGGTTTGGGCAACAAAAGCATGGACTTAGGTTTAGGAAAATTGAACAGGGTTTGGCGTTATAATCTCACATGACACAAACACCTCTTTCCCGGGTGAAAGTCAGTGTTTGTTGGACCCATCCAACATCTCTCCCACCCGCCCAACTCAGACTTCCGCTGTCTATTCTCATTCTTGTCCCATTGTGTTTACCCCTGGCGTGGCTGGGCACTGTTAAATTATAAAGGCGGCCTGCCGTGTATCATGCCAACGTTAAAGGACAGCTTTTTTGTTGGCATCTGAAGCCACAAGTCACTGCCCAAGCATTGAATTTCAACGACTTCGGAGTGAGATTGGCTTGGTCTTTGATCAAACAAAAAAGATCTCTTTAACAAAGAGGTCTATCTCTACAGGGATCCTTTCAGTGATCCTCTCAGTAGCAAAAACAAACACTTTTAGTGGACATAAATTGGCAATGCTGTATGCCCTGAAGTGCTCCATTGCAGCCAGTTTCAAAGCTGCTGGCTGCAGCACTGTCTAGACCAATTTCATAAATTGTTGTCTCCATTATTCACTTAGATACAAATATGGGCAAATAGGATCCAGGTTAAGAAGTACCAAAGTTACCCTTTAATTAGTAAGGGTGCTAGTACACAGATTTTGTAACCTTTGGGCAGAGCCAGGTTAGCTGTCTCCAGGTGTTTTCCAGTCTCCGTGCTAATGAGCTAACCAGCTTCTGGCTGTAGCTTCAATTTTAGCCCACAAACATAAGAATAGAATAAATCTTTTCTTCTTCTCTGCCAGGAAGAAAAAAATGTTTACAAACTTTTGCTTGAACATGAACTCTTCCCATAATAAAAGCCTTATCCTGTGGGATGTATAATTCTAAAAGTAACATCACATTTGGCATGCACACTCACAAAAACACACACCCACACACCCACACACCCGCACAACTCAACATCCAGCGATTTCCATTTGTCACGGACATGGGTGAGAAATGTATAAAGTGTAATTTTCATATTGCACCCACACCACCGAACTGAGTGGTGTGAAGCATGAAAGGGCAGTCCTTGTAGAAGTCCTAGTGCTGATGTGCAGATACAATTTTTGTCTCGACCTTTTTTCCTCTTTCCCCATCCTACAGCTCTTGTTCATTTATATTCTGCTGAGCTGCTTGAGCCTTTGAGTGATAAATCCATGAAAGAGAGAGTGAGGGAAGGACGGATTCGGAGGGGGAAGAGCGGGAAGAGGAGGTCCGGCAGTACTACAATGATGAAAGTGAGTCTTCCCCAAGCTGCTCCTGACTTATCTTATGACACACAATAGCTGCTTTAAATACCCTTGAAGTCCCCTGCGGTGGCTAGTTTGGAGTGACAGTGACAAGAATAGGGAAGGCTACATGGCTTTAAATTCTTGATGAAATTGCAATTAAGACACCAGAAGAAGAACTGAGCCCGCGGCTGTGCAAGCAATGACCAAAAAGAAACAACAAGGATGTGAGGAGGAAATACATGAAAAGTTAATTCTGCTCTGTGAGCTTTAATTCTGGGCATCTGTCATCACATATAACCCTCCCCTAAAAGAGTAGAGGAGATGAAACTGAAAATGGCCATTAAGTCTCGTGTATTAACCACAGACCAGCGGGTTCTCTGCAGCTTTAATGAGCAGTAATCCAGTAGTGTTTGACCACAATACTCTCCAACATGGAAAGATATTCTGCAGGGTATGTGCAGCTAAATCAAAACAAAAGTCCAGAAAGTGCACGGAGATCAGCGAGGTTTGAGACTTCTCTTTCAGGGACTTTGATGCCCTCCGGTTTGGCTGTTTGGAGAAATCCTCAGGGGTCTCTTTCGCTTTCCTTTAAGGACAGTTTTTGTGCTTTTGTCACATGTCCTGTGATTATCGCCTTAATGCTGGCACTTGCTGTAAGATTAACTGCTGAAGCCTTGAAGGGAAACTGCCTTTTAGCACCCAGAATATCAAGTAATTGAAAGTTTGACCAGATGTATGTGCCTCTGCAGTTTTACACTAAAGGAAGTGCAAAGCTGGATTCTCCTTATACAGCAAAGGAGACGTCTCAGCAAAAGGCTAAGCTCCAGTTGTGGGAATGTAAGCACTTCTGAATTTCGCTTTATCACTGTTTAAACGATGACCCCCCCCAGCATTTTTGTTACAATGCACTGGTTTATTACACGAGTTTACAAAATATACTCTTTCTATTTGCAGAGTTATTCCATAGGATACAATGCATTTCTTTTGCTTCACGTGAGTTCATATTCAATAGACAAATTGTGACTGATACATTTCCACAATTTAATAAAATGTCAGCTTGTTTCTTTGCATGTGTGCAATCATTTTTGAATGCAGGAGCACAAATTATTCCACTATGCTCTCTATCTTTTGTGCATATGATGTTCTAAATCAAAAATCATACAATTTTTACAGACTGCATTTCAGCCAATGCCAATTCAATGACCTAATAAGCTACTTTCTCTCCTGATGGGTAAGTGGAAGGTCCACAGAAACTACCGGGTTAAAATAATTATACGTCTTCTCAAGCATGTAAGCGTTGCTCCTCTTAGCCTCTTATCAGCCCATGGCAACTTAAGACGCACGGTCCAATCAGTGGCCTCGTATTTTGTGCATGGCTGCTCCGTTTCCCTGCCCAGCAGCCCCGAGGGTAAAGCCCAGAGGCCCTCTCACCATCTGCTGCTGCCACTGGGGGTGGCACGATCATGTTCACAGTGCCATGCCAGCGCAGTGAGCCTAAGACCAGGCTTTGACCCTTTCATCCACTGCCCTGAGACCCACTGCCTTGAGACCCACTGCCTTCCTCACCAGGTTGTTCACAGCTACATGATGCACACTGGTTACGATCCAGGGGCATATTTTGTATTGGACTTGCAGAAAAATATTGGCTTTGATTTAATGGAACAATGTTACAGACTGCAACCAGCTGCAGCTACTCCTGAATTCTGCCAGTGTTCATTGTTCAGGACATTTTTTACCTGGGGCTGAATTATCCTCAGAGGTCTCTTCCTCTCCAAAGCAAATAGATCTGGTGATTAAAACTGGTAACTGAATAAAACATTTTCATGTTACAAATCAGTGTTTCCCCTACACTGTTGGGTATGCCGCTGATGAGCTGCAAGCCCAACACCTGCTGATACATGCTCACATA